CGAAAAAATGAAAACAAAAAGCTATCGCTTATTAGCTAATAGTGTTAGTAAAATGAAAGCCTAAAAAATTAGTTCAAAATGGAATAAATGGAGGAAACAAGAAACAAAGAAGAAATGGGGCATAATGAAAGACTTAAAGCCAGCCATGCTGACAATTATTGAACAGAACCTCTAATTAAAAAACAGAGATTGCCTTATTGAATAAAAAGCACAATCAACTCTAAGGTGTTGACAAGAAATCCACTTTATATGTAATGACACATATAATTGAAAAATAAAAAGCTGGAAAAGACATGCCACGTGAACAGTAATCATAAGAAAGTTGTGGTGGCCATATTACTCTCAGACAAAGTAGACTTCGGAATGAGAAATCTAACCAGGAAGGACAGTTCAGATGGTAAAGGGGTAACTTCAAAAACATAATAATAAACATGTACGCACTTCATAGCAGTTTCAGAATATATGAATGAAGCAAAAACTGGTAGAAGTAAAAAGAAATGGACAAATCTACAATTAGAGTTGAGATTTCAATACCCCCTCTCAGTAATTGATAGCGCAAGTAGACGGAAAATCAGTAAACATGTAGAAAACCTGAACAACACAATGACCTAACGTGACCTCTTTGACATTTGTACAATGCTCCTCCCAAAGACAGTAGCATATATATTCCTTCTAGGTGCACATGGAACATTCACCAATGTAGACCATCTAGCAGGTCATAAACAAGTTTCAGTATATTTTGCAATATTAAAGATGCATAAGAATATCATCTTGCCAAAACAGAATTAAATTAGAAATCAATAACAAAAATATCTAGCAAACCTCCAAATATTTCAAATTAAACAACAAATTTCTAAGAATGTCCCATTAGTCAACTAGAAATCAAAAGAAAGATTAGGGAATACTTTGAACTGAAGGAAATGAAAACACAGCATGTCGAACTTTGTGGGATGCAGCTAATGCAGTCCCCTCGAGTCAAATTTATAGCTTTAATGTATAACTTCATAATTTACATTAAGCAGTGTATTTATGGAAGTTGGGAAACTGTAAACTGGTAGAGTTATGTGATCCTGTGTTGGTATTTGAACACCCACATGCACTTTCATAGCTCAGACTTCACATTTCTCAAGTGGGTTTACAACGCCCTTTCACACTCTGAAGCTGACAGCAATGCACTTGTGGTTTCTCCTCTGAGACGCGTATCTTCTCACGCATACTCTTTAGGAATGGAGCTGGAGAAATGTCATCCAGTGCAAGGAAGGAAATAGGTCCCGAGGGAGAAACCTGGGACTTTATAGAAAGGGCAACCCAGGGATAAACACTTTAAGGGTTTCACTGTTCTCAGATAATTAGTCACTGAGAGTAAAGGTGTCTTATTTATTGTCAGTGAGTCACTTGACAATAATCTCCAGGTTCTTGCTGGGAAGGCTCCCTTTCATTTCTCTGGTGGAACAATTTCTGTCCCCTCCCTCTAGTGGGTGGGCTGCTGCCCCAGAAGGAAGTGGCAGCACAGGAAGACTGGCTGGGACCCCTGGGGGCTGCGGGGTGCCAGCATAAGCATCTCCCACCAGATACGTTTCATTTGCCAACCCTGAGGGCTACTGGGTGCAGGAGCCAGTGCCGCACACGGCATTTGTGGCATATGGAGGAAGTGCCATCAACAGGGCAGCTCAGCAGTCTTTTCTGACTCAGAGCCCAGAAGATGTGGCCACTGTCTCACTGGGCTCGATAGTTACTTCCCAAGGACCTGGAGTAAAAACGCACGATGAAGCCCTTTCAGACCCGCCCCTGCTAACATCTTAGCCACCAAATGTATGATGTGGCTTCATACATCGTGTAGGAAACTCAATCCCATTTGCAGTTACTGACAAAGTCGGACGTGCGCATTATCTAGGACAGAGCTGCACTATCGTACGTCGCAGCTACTCTGGCCTTTGTGGCCTTTCATGGTGGGGCGTGCACTCCCTGATTACATGTGCCAGCAGGAAACCCACATCCTTTGTCCAATGATGTACTTTATAAAGTGGGTTTGAAATCCAGAAACCGCCCGCTGCCCCACAGACCTGAGCACGTTACGACCGTCCTTCCTGCTCCCCAAGAGTCACCGGGCCTGTTTCAGGGAAACCTCAGTTCCCTTCAGAGGGCGTGGGAGGGGTGCCAAGCGCCTCAGTGCCCTGGGTCATTAATCATCTGTGAATTAATCTTAAACCTTCTCTAGCTCCCCACGTCTGCTCTAGAGCTGCTGCCAGCTAGAGTGTAGCACGTGCCAGTGTGGACAGGGCTTCCGAGGGAAGGGCTGGGCACCCTTCCGTTTCCTTCCTTCCTTTGCAGACTGAGAACTTCCAAACAGGCTTTGATAGTCTGATTGTTGGGAATAATAGCGTTCTTAAGGAATCACTGGGCTCACTGTTACCCTAAAATTTCCTCTCCAATTTTCTCACCTGAACATCACTTAGATGAGTCAGTGCTTCCCTGGCTGCCGGAACAAAAGGAAGCTGGTGCCCAAACAAACAGCGGTGCTTGGCACCTTTAACAGGGCGTTGGATACTGGGGACTCCAGGCTCTCTCCCTGGCACCTCTGCGGCCTCGGCCCTGGCTCTGTGCGCCCACTACTCTCTCTCCTGCCGGCCCCTCTCTTTGATTGCACGCCAGCCCTGAGAGCTGGCCACACAGCAGGAGCACCTGTGGCCCGGCCTGGTTCCTGCTCGTGGGGTGTTTAATCAGGGAAATGGAGGTGTGAGCAGGCCACCCACACACCATGGGAGGCTTATCCCTCGAGACTGTTAAAATCTATTTGGACAAGTGGTGTGACTGGGTGTTCTTTGGGCAAGTTTCTCATTTCCTGCTTGCCTGTCCCGTCCAGACTCTCCCTAGACCCTGCCTGTGGCTACACTTCCCACAGTGAGGGTCACCCAGGTGTCTTTCAGGCAAACCAACTGGGACTCATCCCGGCGCATCTGCTCTGCCCACATGCCCCACCCTCCGAAACCAGCCCTCCTCCCATGAGTGCCTTCCCAGCGCCCCAGCCTGGACTCTCCTGAGGGGTATTTGGTGGGCCCCTCTCTCCCATTGTGGAACCATCCTCCTCGGGGCTTGTTGTTCCCATCCAACCCCAAACCACGAGAAAGGCTCACACGACACTCACCCTCACAACCCACGATCTTCCTCAGGCTCTAAGAAAAATGCCGGGTGGTCCCCCAAAACCTGCCTCCACTCCCGCTCCTCGCCTCTGAGGCCAGCCCAGCGATACACTTCTATGCCTGAGGAGGAATTCTAGAACCTGGCACCTGGGTTCTGAATACCTGAATGCAGAGCAGTCTGAGACTGGACGACCAGCCACGGAGAACTGGCCCCTTTCCCGCAGCTTCAGCCCTACTGTCTCCCAGCCACACCCTCCGGGCAGCCCTATGGCTCCATCTCAGCAAGCCACACCCTCCGGGATGGCTCCATCTCAAATCCCCCAGGAGAGGGTGACCGTCCCTTCCCTGCTGGAAAAGGCCTCAGCGATTCTTCTGATAGGTTTTCAGATGTCACCCAGAAAGCATCTCTGGGCGGCTGTGCTCCCTGAAGTTTCCCTGGCAGACCAAGACCCTCGAGGATGATCCTTCCCCCAGCAGAGGCGAGGTGGGGGCTTCTCTGCTCACCTCCGCCTGGCTGTTCCTATGACCTGACTTGTACAAACGTGAGACGCTTCACTTGCTTTCTAGCTCACTATGTTCTGACTCAAAACAAATTCTGCAAAGGCGCCTACTTGCTGTTAAAACCGGAATTATTCTTATTGGTCAAAGTTCCTTTTCCTACCTTGAAGTGGACCCATTTTTGCATATAAACGTGAATAAGATGCGTCTAACAAGGCGAGGGAGCCCCCAGACAGAAGTGTCCTGGCTGACGGGAAACAGTGGATGTGGTGAGAATCGTGAAAATGTCCTCTCCTCTCCCAGATGGCAGCTGAGTTTAAGCGTCCACCTGTCAGAATGGTGACCCGGCTTGAGGTTCCAAGTGCGGCTGGTGGGTGTGGGATGTGGATGGCAGTTGCCAGGTCCAGATTCCAAGAGGTGTCCAGAGGAAACAGGGGACCCATGGGGGCACTCACGGCCCTTCCAGGCTGGGCCAGGCTATGTGGTGACGAGAAAGGGTAACGGGAGCTGGCACGGGGCCCAGAAGGACTTCATCGAAGACATCAGGGTCCAGGAGAGCAGTTGCTATGGGTGGATGGTGAGGGGTGGGCCTGGCCGGGGTGGACCATGAGGTTTGGGCCTGGCCAGGATGGACCGTGTGGGGTGGGCCTGGTTGGGGTGGATGGTATGGGGTGGGCCTGGCCAGGGTGGGCTGTGCAGGTTGGGCCTGGCTGGGGCACAGGGAGGAGGAGACAGAGACCTGGGGGCTGCTGGACATGAGCTGCACCGGAGTGGGAGGCAGAAGGAGACAGAAATGAAGCTGTGCAGGTAAACAATGGAAGTCTCACAAACAGCCGACAGCTGGGACTCCTGGAGACAGCGGCTGCCTACTGAAGCCAGACTTCTGCTCAGTGATGCCCAGAAAACTATCTTTTCTGGAGAGGGCAGGGGCCCGAGTGAGGCAGCTCAGCCCTAGGCTATGCACAGAGGAAGGGCAGGGAGGAGGGGAGCCCGGGCGGACTCAGTCCAGAGACGCCGCTACAGCTCAGAGACCAGAGCTCGCCCACCTTCCACACAGAGGCTGCTGTGTTCCCCACCAGTCCTTCCGCCCCAAGCCGCCACTGGGAGCAGGAGCATAGGCACGGGAGCCACTCAGCACCCCGTCCCTGCTGAGGGCTCGCTCTACGGGAGCTTTGCTGAGCTCCTGAAGACCACCAACGTGACTCAGAAACGTGCCCCTTCAGAGCACTAACGGAGGGAAGGCAGAAAGAGGCCCCTCCCTGCAACCCGGGGGCAGCAAGGCCAGGTGGCCGACCAAGGGGCTGCCATGGGGGACCCGGCTGTGTGGCCTCTCCTGTTCCCGAGGCCCCGACTCCCACTTACTCGAAGTACTCGGCAGCAGGCGTGGTCCCAAAGGTGTCGTTGAGGCCCGAGCTGCTGCCACTGGAGTCGCCAGGGTGGGCGTCTGAGCAGTTGGGGCTGTTCCAGGAGTTGTTGCAGTGGACCCACGGGAGCTCCGTGGTGAAGGACGAGAAGAGGTAGTGCAGCGCCCAGGCAATGATGACATTGTAGAAGAAGCCGACATACAGCGAGATGAGGATGACGGTGAAGCCCACGCCTGGTGGGGAGGGGGGACGGTGAAGCCCACGCCTGGTGGGGAGGGGGGGACGGTGAAGCCCACGCCTGGTGGGGAGGGGGGGACAGTGAAGCCCACGCCTGGTGGGGAGGGGGGACGGTGAAGCCCACGCCTGGTGGGGAGGGGGGGACAGTGAAGCCCATGCCTGGTGGGGAGGGGGGGACGGTGAAGCCCACGCCTGGCGGGGAGGGGGGGACGGTGAAGCCCACACATGGAGAGGAGGGGGTGATCACGGAGCCCACACATGGAGGGAAGGGGGTGATCGTGGAACCCACACATGGAGGGAAGCAGGTGATGGTGGAACCCACCCACGGAGGGAAGGGGTGATGGTGGAGCCCACACATGGAGGGAAGGGGGTGATCGTGGAACCCACACATGGAGGGAATGGGTGATGGTGGAGCCCACACATGGAGGGGAGGGGGTGATCGTGGAGCCCACACATGGAGGGAAGAGGGTGATCATGGAGCCCACACATGGAGGGAATGGGTGATGGTGGAGCCCACACATGGAAGGAATGGGTGATGGTGGAACCCACACATGGAGGGAATGGGTGATGGTGGAGCCCACACATGGAGGGAAGGGGTGATGGTGGAGCCCACACATGGAGGGAAGGGGTGATGGTGGAGCCCACACATGGAGGGAAGAGGTGATGGTGGAGCCCACACATGGAGGGAAGGGGTGATCGTGGAGCCCACACGTGGAGGGAAGGGGGTGATGGTGGAGCCCACACGTGGAGGGAAGGGGGTGATGGTGGAGCCCACACGTGGAGGGAAGGGGGTGATCGTGGAGCCCACACGTGGAGGGAAGGGGGTGATCGTGGAGCCCACACGTGGAGGGAAGGGGGTGATCGTGGAGCCCACACGTGGAGGGAAGGGGGTGATGGTGGAGCCCATGCCTCGCTGGAAGGGGTAACAATTGACTCCAGGCCTAGAGGGAAGGTGGTGACTGTGGAACCCATGCAGGTGATGCACAGAGCCACCATGGAAGTCCCTTCCACCTTCCCTCGCAGGAGACATCACCCTGAGCCGGTAGCTCCTGGACAGCCCTGATGCCAGGCACCATCCTCAAACATGCAGGGGAAGGCCAGTGAAAGGCCTGAGACCAGACTTCATGCTGTGACCACAAAAAAGAAACTGCCCACCCCCAAAACTATGCACTTCTGCACAGGGACTTTCAGGGTATTTCTGAGGGGCATCCAGGGCCAGCAAGGTCAACCAGAGCTATGGTGGATGTCCAGGGCCACCCTCACGCACCCAGAGACCCTCAGGGACACTGTCACCTGCACCATACATAGTCATCCATCCCCACCACAGCCACTCAGGATCCACAGGGTCATCTAGAATCACTGAGGCCATCTAGGGGCTACTCTGGGTGACCCAGGGCAACCCAGTCCATGGCTAACCAGGGCTACCAGGTCCGTGTGTAACCATCAGAATCATCCACGGCCACCCAGAAGCACCCAGGGCTACTAGGAACCCATGCAACAGGGCCATCAAAGGTCACCCAGTGTCACCCAAGAACACCCAGTGTCTCCCAGAACCACCAAGACTGCCATAGTCACTAAGGGACAACTGGGGTCCTTGACAGCCGTCCATACCCACCCAGGCTCATTCAGGATGCTGGAGGGCACCCAGGACCACACATGATCACTCATGCTAATCCAGGGCCACTTGGAGCTACAGAGGGTATCCACGACCATCCACGGCCATCTGTGGCCATCCACAGCCAGCTCCATTCATCCACAATTATCCACGGCCATCCATAGCCATCCACAATCATTCACGGCCATCCATGGCCACCCACAACCACCCACATCTACCCCTGGCCACCTCCAACAATCTGCCACCATCCACAACCATCCACAGCCATCCATGGCTGTCAAGAGCCGTCTGCATTTATCCACAACTGTACGCAGCCACCTACAGCCACCCAGGGCCATCCACAGCCATCTATGGCCATCTGTGGTCATCTATAGCTACCCATGCCTCTCCCCGAAGACTACGCAGAAGAATCAACTGGGACCATTTATAGCCATGTGGAGGCATCCAAGGTCCCACCACCTATACACAACCATCCAGGGTTTCCTAGAATCACCCAGGGCCACATAAGATTACCAAGGTCCACGCCGGGCAGGTAAGATCATCCAGGGCTTCCTTGGGCCACCTAGAGCCTTGCATGACTATTGAGGACTACTCAGAGCCGTGTTTGACCTTCCACAGTCTCCCAGGGTCACTCGAGACCATCCATGGCCATCCATGGCCGTCCAATGCGACCCAGAGTCTTTTAGAGTGCCCTTTCCAGGATCACAGACCTAGAATTTGGGACCCATCATTTAGGGGGCTCTTGGTAAACTTGAACAGAACTCAGCGGTCAGCAGTCTTTGGAGCGGTGTCAGCCTGACTGGTGGGCAGATGGCCTCCTCCTTGTTTCCTGCTGGGTGGCCACCATCACGTTCTTGCTACTGGAGTTGACTTTACTAAGCTCCAGGAAGAATTCTCTTCATTCCCACATTCCTTCTCATTTTGCTGACACGATTAGTTTGGGCTCCAACTTTGATTGACTTCATGGAAACCCAGGAGGCTCCACGCCCAGTCTTACCTGCCCGTGGCCAGGGTAGGAGCGTGCCTTCAAGGTGACTTTTCAGGGAGTGGCCTAGTTGCTTTTATGATCTCAGTTCTTAAGAGAAGTTGTTCTCGTGCTCAGGGCACCTCCGCAAAGTTCTCTTCCAGCCCTGAAAGCAAAGAGAAGGCTCCAAACATCGCTTTAAATGGATCCAGGACCAGAGTGCATACAAGCCCTCTTGGAAAACGTGCTCAGCAGTGGCGACGAGAACAGCCAGGCTGTTGCCTTTAGAAGCCCTTCTCCCACGAGGGACTGGTCCACATTCAGTGATTCTGCGTTACAGTCTGTATTACGAATCCCTTAGGAGAGAGGCTGGGTTGTGATTCACGGGTGCTCACCCACACGGCCACACTGGGAGCCACGCTGTGAGAGGCCACGTTGTTTCCAGAGAGCACTGTGGGGGATTTTCCATGGTGGCAACTGACATGGAGGCCCAATTTGAAAAACACTTTCAAAGTTAAAACTTTGTGTACAAGACCTTAGCTTGAAACCCTGGGAAGTCTCTGATCAAACAGCACCAGAGTGGATCCCAATCCAGAGTCCGATGGAAGGGCTGACTCTGCCCCGGGTCCTGCCCGACCACCACTGTTGTTTCCCACCCTGTACCCCAGATCGGCAGGGCCACCATGGGCTCACGACATCACCACGGCCACGGCACATGACATCACCATTGGCCACACGGGCTGACCCAGCTCCCAGAGCAAATGGGCCTGCTCTGGTCCATGGGAGAGTGCGACCCCCAACCCAGAGTTCCTCTTACCAAGAGGACCCCTCCTGGATGCTTCCCCAGGCACCTGGGTGAGGAAACCCTTGGAAGGTGGTGGCCAGTGTCAGCACTGGCTGGGCATTTGGTGGCTCCAAGCTCTGCTGTTTGGGAAGGCAGAACCCCTGCCCTTGGCACTGACTCATAGCCCCACACCAACCAGCCAACTTCACCACAAGCTCAAGCTCACTGAAGGCCCGGACACACAAAACCTTTAGCTCCCCTGTTTGCTAAAGAACCTTCTGGTGGTCTCTGCTCATAACATCACTGTGGGCTCTAGATGAAGCTTCACCTGACACATTTCTTAAACACCATTTAGTGACACAGGAGGCTTTCTCCCCAGGGAGGTGGCAGGTGTAGCCCCTGCTTGTGTCTCCAGGGAAAACGTTCATGGGAATGTGATGCTTCCCTTCCCTTCTGTCTGACTCCCAGCAAGCTCAGCGCTAGGCGTGAATTTCAAGCATAGCTCTTAAGGTCAATTTCCTTAAATTTATTTTATGCTTGGTACCTTTTTATATTAACCTTGCACGCATTGTGTTTTCTGTTTGAGAAATCACACTAAAGTATGATTGACTATTAAATATGTCATATTCGGTACAATCGAATGGTGGGGTTTCCAGGGTGTCTGTAATATGGGGTTGCCTTTGGCAATGAAATGGAAATCTGACAAGCAGAAGCCGGCTGAGGGTCCTGCCCACTAGAGCACGGCCACCCTGCACCAGCCCTGAACACCAGTGTACACCTGGGCACCCACGAGAGCTGGCTTCAGGAGAGGGTATTGTCAACACACACAGGGAGCCCACGGGAGGAAGCCTCTGGTGGAGCAGCCCCTCCACACCTCGCTGGAAGCAGCCAGGTGGCCCTCAGAAGAAAGACAGGAGAGGACACCTCCCTGTCAGTCTGGGTGTCCTTAATATCTGCTTGCTGTGTGTGCACGCACCAGAGAGACAGAAGCAGAGAGACACAGAGAGAGGAAAGGAGGGAGAGACAGAGAGAGACACAGAGGGAGTGGGAAAGAGAGACAGTGAGGGGAAGGAGGAGAGGGAGAGTTTTAAAGGCCACCTCTCAGGACCCTGGGGTGCACTGCAGGGCTGAAGGCCCCCGAGGCCCCTCTGGCTGCAGTGCCCGCCCCTCAAGTGGCTCGGGGGAGACTCCGGGAAACAGGTGAGTCCTGGTGTCTGAGCAGCTGGGACTCACCGTGAACTCCACCCATTGGCTTTTGAGGTTGGATCTTGTTTCCCAGTTAGGAGCAGAAAGCAGCTCCCAGGTCTGTGGGAAGGGAAGGGCTGGGGAGAAGCAGGCTCCAGGGAGAGCTGGGCTTCACTTCTGCCGCGGACTTGCCACCTGCTCAGGGCTGGAGGGCCTTTTAGCTCCATGATTATTCTGGGGACTTTAGCTGATGTCTTAATTTACCATGTGGCACTTCTATTTAATGGCACATGAAAATGCATGTATTTTTATTAACTAACTTTTTATAAAGGACAAAGGAAAGAGAAGGCACACGTATCAGGGTGCCAGGGAAGCACGGTGCACACCCAGTTCCGCGAGCAGTTGCAGTCTCCCCTAAACCGGCACCCCGCGGTTGACAGGCAGGCAGAACAAATCGGACGCTGGCACGGGACCTGCAGCATTACTGAGAGGAAACTGTTCAAGGTGTCTCTTCTCTGACGAAGTCCAGCTGTTATGCATCAACTCATCCATCCCTTCACGGGTCCAATAGTTCACTTTCTGTGATTTGTGGTTTTCCTTCCTCACCAGGTATGAGGTGGGCATGAACTGGCTCTGCCTGAGATCTGCCCTCAGGACCACGAGCCCTTCTTCCTGTGGCCATGCTTCGCAGCCGTCCTCGGGTACTGGTCTTCAGAATGAAGCCTGCGTGGGATGCGGATGGTGGGCACTTGTGCTGTGCCACAGAGGAGGTGACTGCTCAGCTTCCCCAGGCTGCGTGTTGTGGGGAATACAATGAGATGTGGCAGCTGCCGGCTGCATTTCTCCAGAATGAGGCACCACTGCTCACACTTACAGAAGTCAGAGGCTCTCCATTAGCCCAAGTCACGTGGCTCATCACCACACGGCTCTCTGAAATTCTTAGAAATAGCTCCTTGACATTGTGTGAACTGCATCATGAAGACCCACGCTGGGAGCTTTGTGGGTGGACCTCCTTTCCATGTACAGATGGAAGGAAATCAGCCCCTATCTGCTGACCCACAGGTCCCTCTTCTTCCTGCGCTCCTCACCCGAATCCTGCATGTGAAGAGGTAGTTTAACTCTCCCCAGCACCAGGCTCACTGGTGGGAGTGGGGTGCAGGGCTGTGCGTGTAGACACTCGTGACAGACTCCAGGGTGGCTCTGGAACATCCGGCAAAGCAGTTTGACATCGCCCCAGCCTGTGCCAGAGCCCGAGGTCATCTTTCCTCGCTGTTTCTCCCACCCCAGTGGGCTGGCCTCCTCCCTGATTCAGCGTCCCAAGGCTCTAAGCACTTGGGTGCCCTCCTCCACGGACATGGCGCAGGCTCAGTGTCGCTCACAACTGCAGATTCAGGCAGCATCTCCTCCCTGAAATGTGTCCGCACTGCCGGCCAGGGCCGGGGGACACAGGTAACATGTATGCATCTTGAACCGTTAGCCTGGGTTCACTGTGAGGCCCAAGTTGAGCCGCGCACCTGTCTGTCTGGAAGGAGGCTGCTGGGTCTTCCGTTGGCTGCTGCACTCCTCTGCCGGGAAGCTGACGACAGGGGCGGAGGCACGTTCCCGGCAATTCTGGGATGGTTTGACCTCTCCCTGCTGATCCTGCCAAGGGGCCATCTGGCCCAGTGTGTGCCCCCAGCATCTGTCTGTCAGTCTGAAGATGTGTGCAGGGTGGGGGTGGGGAGAGAGGCCTCTTTTTGTGGCTCCATTTCAGTGTGGTTCAGTGAATATGGAACCTAGGAAGAAACTACTGGAGTCCTGAGGTTCACTGTGCAGCCCACTAGGAATGAATGTGTCTCGCGCCTGCGAAGAGCCACCACGCCTGGCCAGTCTCAGCATCTCTACGGCTGCGACGGTGCCTTCTCCTCCCAGAGCCCAACCCCAGCAGCTGTGAAATGCCATCTGTTCCCTCTCCTAAGGCGGGTCAGCGGCTCGCCTCTGAAGGTCCACCCCGACCCACTGGTAACACGTCCTGGGGTGGTACTGGGGCCCGGCTGTCTTCTAAACACACCAGCTTATCCAGAACTTCTGTGAGTATCCAGAGACCGACCTTCTAGTAGCCATTTTCTTAATGCCAATTTTCTGAGTGGTGCCTCTGAGGAAATGCCCGAATCCTCCCTGAACCACCAGCTCCCAGGAGGTGGCTGTGCCATGGGCAAGCGTGACCTGCGTGCATGGACTGGGGAGTCAGAAACACCTGGGATGAAATCCCACTCTGTTCTGATGGGGAGACCAGGGGGAATGACCCCTGCCCTCTGGTCCTCAGCATCTGCATCTCCAACACAGAGACATAGTGCGTGCCCTTCCCAGGGTCTCCTGAGGATGGAGTCAGAAACACCAGGAGAGGGCCAGGTGCTGGGCAGGCCACCTGTGCTCAACACGAGGTATGTGCACTTCATGGTGCCAGAGCAGGGCACCAGCAGCCGGAAAGGGTCAGTGACAACGAGATGGATCAATAACGAATAGACAGATTGATAGGTTGATAGGTGGATGGATGGATGGATAGATCAATAGATAGAAGGTAGATGGATGGATGGATGGATGGATGGAGCTGTAGATCGATGAATGGATGAATGGATGGATGGATAGATGGATTGATAGGTAGATGTATGGATCAATAGATAATGGATGGATAGATGGATGGATGGATGATGGATCCGTAGATGAATGGATGGATGGATGGGTGGATGGATGGATTGATAGGTGGATGGATCAGTAGATAATGGATGAATGGGTAGATGATAGGTGAATACATGATTGATAGATGATAGAGTTATGAATTGTGTCCATGCCCCAAGTTCATCTGTTGAAGTTCTAACCACCCCCCAAACCTCAGAATGTGACCTTATTTAGAGACAAGGTCTCTAAGGAGTTAATCAAGTTGAAGTGAGGTCATTAGGGTGGGTCCTAATCAACAGGGTTTGTGACCTCATAAAAAGGGGGAATTTGGTGGCAGAGCTATGCATAGAAGGAATAGAAGGAAGCAGCATGAAGAGGCACAGGGAGAAGACAGTCTCTGAGCCAAGGAGAGAGGCTAGAACAGACGCTTTCACACAGCGTCAGAAGAAATCGACCCACTGACCCCGTGATCGTGAATAAATGTGTGTCGTTTGTTACGGCAGCCACAGGACACTCATACTGGCAGATGGTGATGACAGACGGATGGATAGGCAGGTGGGTAGATAGGTGGGCAGCCACAGGACACTCATACTGGCAGATGGTGACGACAGACGGATGGATTGGCAGGTGGGTAGATAGGTGGGCAGCCACAGGACACTCATACTGGCAGATGGTGACGACAGACGGATGGATAGGCAGGTGGGTAGATAGGTGGGCAGCCACAGGACACTCATACTGGCAGATGGTGACGACAGACGGATGGATAGGCAGGTGGGTAGATAGGTGGGCAGCCACAGGACACTCATACTGGCAGATGGTGACGACAGACGGATGGATTGGCAGGTGGGTAGATAGGTGGGCAGCCACAGGACACTCATACTGGCAGATGGTGACGACAGACGGATGGATAGGCAGGTGGGTAGATAGGTGGGCAGCCACAGGACACTCATACTGGCAGATGGTGACGACAGACGGATGGATAGGCAGGTGGGTAGATAGGTGGGCAGCCACAGGACACTCATACTGGCAGATGGTGACGACAGACAGATGGATAGGCAGATGGGTAGATAGGTGGGTAGAGGGATGGGTGAATGATTGATATAAAGATCGATAATAACGATAACAGGTAGATGATAGGTGATTTGATGAATGGATGGATGGATAATGGACAGATTGCGGATCTACAGATAGACGTGTTTTATCTTAACTACGTTTTAACATCTTGACAAAGTAACACCACGAATGAATTGCAGGACAGCCTCACCTAGAAACAAGGGAACGAACCCTCAAGTCCTTGTCATCACAGGTCTTTAAAGCGGGACCCAAGTTCAAGTGGTGTGTGCCACGCCTGTGTCTCAGCAGAGCAGGGTGGCATGACCATGATGGGGCTGGCTGGCTTTGAAAGTTCCAGCGCCACCACCAGTCTGCGCTGCGCCAGGGTGAAGGGAGGCGCCTGCGCGTTACCTTTCAGTACGGGGCAGATCTTCCAGACACCAGCAGCTCCTTCCCTGTTGAACTGGCCGAGGGCCAGCTCCATGTAGAAAAGGGGCATCCCAGCGATGACCATGAAGAGCAGGTAGGGGACCAGGAAGGCACCTGTGGGGCAGAACAGCGCCTCGAGTTTGGAGCCTTGGAAGAGCCCGTCTCTCCTCACGGAAGCTCGGGCTCCCACCCCAGTCAACCACCCATGTCCTGGCCCGACGACCCTTTCACCCCACTCTCCAACGGGAAGCGACAGGCTGGGGCAGTCCCCAAGCCCGTCCTGCACTGCTGTCAGTGCCTGACACATCCCTCCTGGGTCTCCTCAGCATTGTGTTCCCCTAGCTGTGAAGTCAAACCCAGGAGCAGTTCAGGGAGGCCCTCTGGATACTGTTCTTTCCCATGGTTGTTCGGAGTGCCCTTCACTGGCCTGCGTCCCCCGCCTTTGCCCCGATCCTCTTTACCTCTTGAGTTGTGAATCTGTGACCCCTACTCTGCCCCTGAGCTGAGTGGGCCCTGCCGTCCTGTCCCCAGCTGCCGGGGCCCTCAGCGCCTGCCCCCATCGACCCAGTGGCTGAGGGGCTTTGCTGCCTCAGGTGCTGGGATCCCCTCCGGGGTAGGGCCTAGTTCCTCTGAAACCTGCATCTCCCCATCCCCAGCACAAGGCCTGGGGCACCCTGGTCTCAGCCTCCTAGATCCCCCCTGCTCCCCTGATCTCACCCGAGTGAGGGAGAGCTTGCCACTCTCTCTGCTGGGGAAGGGGAGGCGGACGCAATGGGGTCCCTCAGCTCTGTCTTTGGGCAACTTCTTGGACATGCTGAGGCCTCTGTCTTCCCCTTTTCTAGGTGGGCATAAAAATGCCAACTTCCTCACCACATTCAGTGAGCCTTCCCCTAAAATTGTTTCCCAAGCCTCCCTTCTTAGACCTACCATAGAGGACAACCAGGGAGGCCAGGCAGGGAGGCCCAAAGAGGCTCCTGGGAACGGACCACCAATGTGCTTGGACTTCCCAGGTGGGCCTGCCTCGATCTTAGGCTCTGGCTCTGTGGCTGGGTTCTGGAGGGTGCAGGGGGCCTCAACATTAGCCTCCGGCTCTGTGGCTGGGTTCTAGAGGGTACAGGGGTCCTTGATCTTAGCCTTCTGACTCTGTGGCCAGGTTCTGGAGGGTGCAGGGGGCACAGGCACTCTCCAGGGGCCTCCTCTGCCACTCCAGGCTCCAGGGCCTCCACACGCTTTGCAAAGGCTGCCAAGGTCAGCCAGAGGCTGTTCTTTGGGTCTTCAAGAATTTTCTTTCTAAAGTGAAATAGCCTCTGGAAATAGGAGGCAGAGCCGAGCTGCTCCATCCATCGCTCCACCCCCCAACCCCAGCTTCTTCCAGGGTCTCCCTTTCCTGACCTCTGAAATGCAGGTACGGGACCAGGCAGCTCTAAGCCCTGCTCTGTGGTTCTGTGACATCCTCTGGGACTATCTGCTCCCACTGCAAGCTCTCACGGGGAGCCCCGTCTTCACGCACGAGAACTGCTTTATCTCGTCCGGGTGCTGCCTTTCCTCAAAGCCCTGCCCGGCTGCCCCCACGGCCCCCGTCTGGCCAGCGTGCCCAGGAAGGCTGACATGGGACTTACCTCCGCCATTTTTGTAGCACAGGTAGGGGAACCGCCACACATTGGCCAGGTCCACAGCGAAGCCAATGACAGAGAGGAGAAAGTCGATCTTCTTGCCCCAGGTCTCCCGATCCTGGGCCTCCACGGGACTCTGATGGTTGGTGAGGGTGGAGCTGGTGAGCTGCACTCCGTTCTGCTCCTTGACGAGGATGAGCTCCACCTCCTTTGGGCCCATGGCGTTGGGCTCCTTAGCCGGGGCCACCACAGAAGACATGAGTCCCACAGAGCATTTGCTCTTACTCATGGGCACACCTGGAATCAAGGAATTCTGTGCTTCTTGTCGCTTGGTCTTCAGCCACTATGAAAAACAAACACACAAGAGGAATGCAGCAATTCAGCCGCCAGGGCTACGGATATGCCTGGTGTGGAGGGCAGAGCCCCAGGGCATTCGCCGGCTTTCCTCTGGAAAGGGATGGGTGCATTCCCAGTGCCCGAGATGGCACAGCTGGGCGCAGAAGCTGGGAGGTGCCAGCTCTCACCACAGGGCTGGGGCACCAGCCCACGGAGGCCTTGAGACAGACTCTGGCTTGCCGTCCTTCCCCTGCACCCTCCTCACTCCTATCAAAGCGCAGTGCTGTGTAAGCTCTAGCGCGGCTTTCCAATAACAGTACATGGATATTACCTCTGCCTCCCCCCGCACTTGCATAGAGCAATTTTACAATCTTCAAAGACCATTCAGTAATGTTTTTATGACTGTTCATCTGTATTTTTTCTTTTTTAATGAGATGAAGTCTTGCTCTGTCACCCAGGCTAAAGCTCAGTAATGTGATTACAACTCACTGCAAACTCAAACTCCTGGGTTCAAGCGATCCTCGCCCCTCAGCCTCCTGAGTAGCTGGGACTACAGGTGTGCATCACAGCGCTGGCTAAGTTTCTTTTTGTGTAATTTTTGGTAGAGACAGGGTCAAACTATGTTGCCCAGGCTGGTCTTGAACTCCTGGCCTCAAGTGATCCCTGCCTCAGCTTACCAAAGTGCTGAGATTACAGGCATGAGCCATCAAGCCTGGCCTTATATTGTTTATACTCAGTAATAAAGAGCAAAATTTATATAGCCAAAGTTGGCCACTGTAAAGAAGAATTTAGATATAACCATCACAACTGTTTCCTCAAAGGGTGCCTGTGCAAGCCACATCCACACATGTCGGGTGACACCACCCCACCTGAGAGAACTTGGCAGAGGATGGACACGGCTTCACTGCGGAGACCAGCTCATGGGCCAGCAGGGTAACCTGGGAAATCCTTTCCAAACAGCTCCATAAAGTCCCCGGCCACGACGCAGCACAGGAGAGCAGGAGCGTCTACACCGCCCCATCCAGGGCCACTTCTGGCATTTGGTTCGAGCAGCACGTTTCAATCACGCATGTGCACACACACACACTGACAGGTGCATGCACACACACACACAGCCTCACGCACACACCGACACACAGGCGCATAAGAGCACACACACGGGCACGGGCGCACACACAGTGCGTGCACACTCACAGCCTCGTGCACACACCCACACACACAGGTGTGTGCACACACTCTCACAGGCAGGTGCACACACAGGTGCGTGCAAGCACACACGCGGGCACGGGCACACACACAGGCACATGCACACACACACGGGCACATGCATTCACACACAGGCGACCACACAAGCACGCACACACACTCATACACAGGCATGCACTCACATACGCACGTGCATACACACAGGTGCGCACACACACACAGGCGACCACACAAAGGCGCACACACACACAGGCGTGCACTCACACATGCACACAGCCGCTCACACACAGAAACACACAGGCAACACACACACAGGCACACACGCACTCACACACAATGAAGCTGGACGTAGGTGGCAGCTCTAACGGGCAACTTTCCGCTGCATCCAAGTTTGCACAACACTCGCCCATGAGCTACATCACGCACTGCTACTGGGTGGATTCTTCAGCTCCTGGTGACAACCCTCACCCCGCACGCACGACCCTTCCCCACCCGCACGACCCTGGCGCTGGGTTCCGCGGAGCGAGCAGGAGCCGTGCTGGGAGAGGGCGCTGGGTGCGGAGCTCGCGAGTCTCTGGCCTCCCTGCTCTGCCGCCTGCCCGGGAAGCAGCCGCGGCCCTGGGGCCACTGACCCCACTCCCGAGCGCGGAGCCTCAGAGGCGAGGTTTGGGTCCACGCAGCGAAACGTGCCCTGTTAGGACGCGATCTTCCCCGCCACGCCCAGAACAAGAAGCGGCGCTGCCTGCAAAGCCCTCGCCCGGCCTCGCTGCGCTGCCCGGAGCACCCGCGGCCGCCTGCGCCCCAAAATCAGACAAAGCCCCCGCGGGACGGAGCGGGGGGGACAACCCACTCCGATCGGATCTGGGGTGCGCCGTGCCCCCAGTGGGGTTAAGTCTCACAGGAAGAAACCGGGTCCCCCAAGTCACAGCCACAGGCATCCACGCGGCCCCCACACCAGTGGCGGCAGCCGGTGCCCACGCCGTCCTGAGCCTGACCCTACGCCCCTCCGTGCACAGCCCCCCTCGGCCTCAGAGGCCCACACGGCGCCATTGGGAGCGCTCAGCACCGCGACTGTTGGCGACTTGAAGACCGTGCGCGGTCTGAGGGACGCGGGGACCCCAGACGGCGCCCGCCCCCTGAACCCGCCTCCCAGCCCCTGCGCCCGACATCGGGGTCTGCGGAGGGAGCGGCCGGCCGGGAGGATGCGCTGGGGACGCCAGTGCCGGGAGCCGCCCCGGCCTCACCTGGCCTCCTGGGCCTCGGCTGGTGCGCACGAGTCCTGGCCGCGAACGTCCGCGAAGCCTCCCCTCTTGCTCCGCTGCGCTGGGCGGTCTCCGCTCGGCCTCGGGCTCTTATCCTGTTGTCGCGGTCCGCCCCGCCCCGCCCCGCCCCGCCCGCGGTCGGGGTCGCCCCGGCGTCCTGACTCCGCCTCCGCACCTCCCCGAGCCGCGCCCCCGCCCCCCGCCCCCCGGGCGCGGACGGCTCAGAGCAGGCAGCGGCCACTGCTCCACGGCCAGCGCGGTCCTGCGCGCCCCAGAGCCCGGACACCGGGTGCGGAAGCCTGTGGGTCCGGAGTGACGCCGGTCTAGACGGGCGCCTTCCTTTCGAGAACCGTCCGGGCCGACCTCGCCCGCACCCCTCGGCGCTGCCCCGTGCACCCGCTGCCTTCGGGACGGGGAAGGAGCCGGGCGGCGGCGCGCGCGGAACTGCGGTGACCCGGCTGGGCCGACCCTTCCCTCCCTCCCCGTCCGGGCGCCCCTGAGGCCACCCCGAGCTCCCGGGACCACCTCCCTTCCATCCGCCGCTCCACGGGGCCCCGGGCTCCGGCCCTGACCAGCTCGGAACCCCGCTTCGCGGAGTGCAGGTTGCGGAGACGCGGGTCCTTCCGTGGCTGTGGGGGCTCCGCGACCTCCGGGCCACCAGCCGAGCCTCGCCGCCTCTGGCCGGCATCGGAACCGCGGGGCTCGCACCGCACTCGCGTGGGAAACGATGCCCCGTCAGGGCCTGGAAAGCCCTGGCGTCCAATACCCAGCTCCGGGCCGAATGGAGTCTGGGGCTTCCTCCGAGATGTCCGGGTTTCTAACATTCAGCGCGCGGAGGAACGATGCAGCCCCCAGGCCCAGGACGTCCTGGTCCTTAGAAGGCACCGAGGTGAGTGGCCCCGCCCAGCTCTGCAGTTCGCCCTCCGGGGTCACCCAAACCCCGGCGATCCTCCCGTGTACCCTCGGTGCCCCTGCGTGACACCCTGCGGTGGGCGTCCAGGCGAGCCCCGGGGCTCCCCAGCCATACCCCCACCCCTGCAGCCCGTGCTCAGCAGTGGGGGAGGCAGCGCCCCTTGGTGTCCCACCCCCTGCTGCGCCCCGCACTCCCCACATCCCTCACCCTGGGCTGGCTCCCAGGCAGAAGGCATCTGTGGCTGCGCCTCCAGGCTGAGTTGGAATCAAGCAGGAACCTGGCGACTCCCTGGGGCTGCTATGACAAAAATCCCAGCAGCCTGGGGCTCCGGGAAGCCTTTAGTTCTCACAGTCCACAGCCTGGGGGCCAAGGTCAAGGCCTAGACCTGGCCGACTCTGTGTCCTGTGAGGGTTGGAGATCGTTCTCTCCCTGTATCTCTCCACGGTGGCAGCTGGGGAGAGCTCTCTGGAGTCTGTTTTATGAGCGCACTGGCCCCATTCCTCAGGGTGGAGCCCTCCTGGACTGACCACCTGAAGACCCCCTCTCCTGACACCATCTCCCATCAGGGGTGGGACTTCAGCCTGGCCAGGGAGGTGAGGGGACTTCAGGAGAGGGGGATGTGCCACCTGAAAGCTGTAGTGTGTCAGTGGCCACCACAGAAGGGATCTCTCTGCCCCCATAAGCTCCATGGCACAGGTTTCAGTGAAATGGAACGAGCCAGGGCTTGGGCCCAGAGCAGCAGGGTCAAGTAAACACCATCTCCCAAGGAAAAGGCTTTGCAGATGACGAAGGGAGGCCGTTAATAAAACACACACAGAGAATGGACGTTCAGGCACCTTAAAAATACACAGGCTGGGCTGGACATGGTGGCTCACGCCTGTAATCCCAGCACTTTGGGAGGCTGAGAAGGGAGGTTGTCTTGAGGCCAGCAGTTCGAGACCAGCCTGGGCAACATGGTGAAACCCTGACCTTGAAAACAAGAATTAGCTGGGCATGGTGGCCCACACCTATAGTCCCACCTACTCAGGGAGGCAGAGGTGGGAGAATCCCTTGAACCTGGAGGGTGGAGTTGAGATCACACCATGGGTAACACGGTGAGACCCTGTCTCAAAACAGAACAGTACACATGCAAAGCACATTCTGGAAGTAATTGCAAGTTCTGAAGGAGTGCAAAATTGTGACCCAAAGCTAACAGGGCACAGGGCAGGAAGGAGGAGGGACCACAGTCACAGAGACCCAGGCGGGCACATCCTCACTGACCGCCACACACAGAGAATGCCCCTGCTGCACTCAGGAGGGGCCACCGAGTGATGTAACCTGCACCCTGCCTCGACCCCGACTTCTGACCACATGAATTAGGATAAAGGAGCTTTGGGTGTTCTCAGGGCAACCAACTGTGGAAGCTGGGCCCGTGGATGACACAGAGAAAGTGCAGTTTCTAGGTCCACCTTCCATAGCAGGAATGCCCTGTGAGCTGTGCAGGTGGAAGCGGTGTGGCTATGAGCCGATCAGACCTGATTAAACGGCCAACCTTTGCATGCTTGGTACTTTGCCCTAAATGCCAAGCCGGCTTTATGATGGTTGTCATTGCTTCTGTGGCTACTGTGGGCTCAGGGTGCTGGGTGCAGGCAGGTGGAGCCATCCAGAGTCTGCACTTCCTACCCATGCTGGGTGCCTCTCTCCACGGGCTGGGACCGCAGCTGCAGAGCCCACAGGGAGCCTCTGGCTGCTGACTGCTGTCTCCAAAGCAGCCCTGCCCCACAGGTCCCCCCTCCTTGTGTACCGCCTCCCGGGGGGCCCTCAGTGCTGGATGTTGCCCATGTTCTCCTTGAGTTGGAAGGCGGCTTGGGTGCTCCCGCCGTGGGTGCTGCATGTGACAGAGGACAAGGACAGTGGGCTGGTCCACTTTGGGAGGAATGGCAGTGAGATGCCAGTCATGTACCTGCCTGCGTCTTTCCTACATTGAGGGTGTCCTCTGTGCTTTCAGAGGAAGTCCCAGGGAGCCCAGCTTAGACTCCAAGGACCCTGACCTCTTGCTGTTGCTGGGAAGGCTCTGGGGGTCGGGGGTGTGGGGAGGGCAAGTGTGAGGGGCCTGTAGGCAGGAGTAGCTTTTTGTCCAGGGGTGCAGGGTGTCAGATCCCAGCCCTTGTGTGGCCGGGTCTGAGAATGATGGAAGGTGCCGGCCCCAGGCAAGAGGTCCTGCTCGCAGCTGCGCCCCTGTGCCCTCCCCGGGCCACCCCAGGAGGGAGATGTTTCCTCCCGCATGGCAGGGGCAACAGTACACTCTGATGTCTTCTCTCAGAGCCGTGTCGTTTTCCAGCTTACTGCTGGCTTTAGCCACAGACATCCCGATGGTGTCTCCACGGCACAGCGTGTCACGGTGGTCAGCCATACAGATGACATCAGGCCAAATCAGCCTGGGGAGCAACACATGAAAAACTCCAAGACGCGTTGGTAAGGCAGGAGCTTGCTAAAAACTAAAAGAGAGAAAGTAACACATCTTCAAAACCTGCCACCTCGGCGAAGTTTCTGTGGGTCCACTGGTCTGATTGGCCAAACTGTGTACCGAAAATGAAAGAAAACACGCTGTGTCTGGCAAGCCTACCCTAGGAAAGAAGTATCATACCTGGTGAGGCTCCTGGGATTGGTGAGGCGAGGTCCGAGACCCTCGGGAGTGCTTCTCTGGCCCGTTTTCTGTGTTACTCCTAAAGCGTTTGGTTGCGAGTGGAGAGCAGATTAAGAAATGTTCTGCTGCTTGTCTGGATGGGAAGCTGCTACCCCGGGAGGCCACACGATCTGGTGATGTTCTCACACTTTAGCCGGCATCAGAGTCACCTACATGAGCCTTACATGCACAGGAGGCACAGATCACCTCGCTCCATCCTCAGAGATGTAGCTTCAGCAGGTATGAGACCTGCGTTTCTAGAAAGTTCTCAGGCGGTGGTGAGGCTGCTGGCCCAGGAGCCACACTTTGAGAAACACTGACCTGGCAGAACCAGGTGGGCTTGGAGGGTCTGTGGCAGACGGAGATGTTGTAGGCAGCGCAGACGATGAGCTGAGTGAGAGCTGAACGCTCTCCTGGAAATACATGTTCTCCTTTGGAATGAGTGCCCCTGAGACATAGCAGAGACTCAGGGAGCTCCGCTACTGCAGAAGCCGTTGGACCCACAGAGGCTGTGTAGGCAGCATCCTGCCATCATCAGGTGGGATGTGCACAAGGCTTGCGCAGGTCTGGAAGACGCGGTAAGTTCCGTGAACAAGCACCCAGTCCTGCTGCATTAAGACCCCTTCCTTCCCCCAGACCTCTAGCTGCGTGAGAGTTTCTTATGGCACTGGATGGAGGGAATGCACCACTGGGGCCTGGGTGACATGTATCTGTCTGTACACAGCACACTGCCCCCACCTGAAAGTGGAAAGCTGTGTCGTCGTGGCCTCCTGTGAAAGGGTGCACGTTCTAACCATGTGTCAGGTTCATCATCTAGCCAAGGAGGGGTGGCTGGAGCATGGCCCCAGTGCACTCACAGGCATTGGCGAGAGGTTTGGCCACAGAACAGGTGACTTCAAAGGACACTGAAATATGGACGACAAGATTTTTCTGAGTAGGTTCCATGTTGGTAGAAAATCTTGAGGAATTTACAAAAAAAATTTAAAAACGACTAGAATTTATAAGTGAATTTAGCAAGGCCACGGGCATCTGATAAAAATCAATTGTATTTCTGTGTACTAGCAGCAAACAATCGTAAAATAAAATCTAAAACAAATTCATTTACAATAGCATCCAAAACGAAATGCCGGGGAAAACGTACCGGAGGCTTGTGGACTGAACACCTAGAATCCGTTGCTGTGAGAAACGTTTAAAAGCCTAGACAAGTAGAGGGGAGTCCCTGCTTAGGACCGAAAGGCTCCATGTTAATGAGATGTCAGTTCTCCATAAACTGACATATAGATTCAGTGCACTCTCAATCAAAATGCTAACTGGCCTTTTTGAAGAAATTAACCAGCTGGTTCTAAAATGTGTTTGGAGATGTGGGTGACCTGAAGTAGCCAAAGGAATCTTGAAAGAGAACAACACTGGAGGACCTAGGAGACGTCATTCACGATTCCACCATCTGAACAAAACTCCGTGGGGAAAGGGCTGCCTTCAACAGACAGCACTGGAGCAGCTGGCTGCTCGGACGCAAAATGGTAAGCTTCACCTGG